CATTAAAATCTTCCCAGGTTCTAAGATTTGTTGGAGTAGGGAGCTTTTCTGTTTTTATTAGAACTGTGATCAATACATTATGTGGAAGGCAAGAAAGAGCCTTATTACCAATGGCTACTAATTCAAAAAAACTTTTCCCAGAGGGGCCAATATTGGTTTAATCTCATTATAAATGAACACCTGGGCTGAATAACTACAGCTCATTCTTAATTTACCCCTAATTTATACTGGTTTGTGGTATCTTTATTCTGTATTTAAATGGTTTATCATCGCTCATGTTCTGCTTTTACTATTTACTAAAAGTTTGTGTACTTTCAAGGTGATTTGGAAGAAGTGTTTTTGACCTCAAATGAGCACAAATCTCCTGTAGTTCTTTAAAAGCTTTCATGCCAACCTGTAAAAAAAAATCTGCTTGAAGAGGATATGCTGCTTGTATGAAAGTCTGGACAAAAAAAAAAGAATACACTTTAATGAATAGCAGATATGTGTTTTACCTCTCTGAGATCAGATAAACTTCTTTAGGAACAATTTCCAAAGATTATATAGCCATATTATTTACATCTTGTCTAAAATAAGATAGATTATTAATATTTTCATATCATAAACATAAATATATATTAGAAATATTAGAGTAGGGAATGTTATACTGACTTGCTCATTATACAGGATATTCTAGCCTCAGCTATGAAATTGCTTTCTCTTCCTATAGTGAGGTCAGAAGGAACTGTTCAGAAGTTTTTGCATTTGTTGACTAAAGCACAGCTGATATCATTTGTCATTTGCTTAATTTTCAAAAACAGTGGTTCTGAAACGTTCTTGTTTCAAAAAATCATTGTTAAAATTAAGAGGTAAAGTTCAACTTTGAAAGCTGAAATCTGGCTAACTTGATCCAGATTACTGTCTGCAAATGAACCAAGAAATGAGCAATCATAGAAACCATAAATAAGGAAAAGAGTAAGAGAATTAATATGACAGTATTTATTTAAAAAAGATTCAGAAAACATTCATGCATCTAGACTTTTGAAGTCTAACACCACCAGTTCATTTGTTTCATGCATTCTGCATTCCACTAGGCCAATGGTGAGGTAATGTAACCTTGCACAGCATGTTTTGGAAACACAGATGGAGTTTCAGACTGCCCATATGGCAATAACTAGCTATTGCAACCAGACAGCTGCAGGAAGTGGGCAACCTCACTAGGACAGCCATTCCAAAGCCCCGTTTCTTTTCTGAATTTTGCAAGAACTCATGAAACGTGTTACTCGTATTTTATCACACATAGAGCCTCTGTTATAACATTTTACTTGCACATGTATTTGTTACAGATTGTATATCAGATTGTAACTCTTTGGGCATATTTCAGAAAGTTGAGAATTCTAGCAAATTTGAATTTGTTTTGGAAAACATGTAAACTGATTCTACTTAACTGGTAGTTTAGGAGCAAAATCATACTTTTAAATTGATCCAGACTGTTCTTCACATAAATAGGAAGGGGTCTCTTTTAGAAAGGTAGGGGGAATCATAGAGGACCGTTCAAATTTAATTTCCTTTCTTTTGCCTGGCTAATAATAATAAAAGTTTCAACAATAAATGCTTCAGAGTATGTTTTGATTACTTGAGATGTGAATTAAATAACAGTAAGCATTGCAAGTGAAAATCAGAATACAAAACAATAAATGTGGCACAGTACATTTAAATTTAAACAAAGGACTGAGTAAATGTCTTAAACTGGCACGAAAATCTAAGGCTCTGTGCCAACCATAACTGAACAAAGAGGAAATTCCACAACTGCAGTGCTTTTACTGAGAATACTCTCTCTAGGGTTGCCTGATGAATGAGATCATTGGGTTTTGATTGGCAGGTGAAAAAGAAAGTGTTCTAATGGATTTTTTCAAACTTGTAGTCCCAAATAGTGTGGAGGACACAAGTTTGGAGAAACTTTGCCTATAGCTTCTCTTTGTATAGTGTTTCTGTTCCTAAACAGAGTCAACAATAAGTAACAAAAGGTTCATGGGAATACTGGTATTCCTCATTTAGCAGCCACAATTGGGACCAATAACTCCATTAATAAGTGAAGCAGTCACTAAATGGGAAAGCATGTGACCATAACTGTGCTTTCCAGTTTGAAACTGACAAGACTAATAAGTTTTATAACTTTTGCTTTTGTTTTCTCCTAATAATTCCCCCAGCCTTTGGAATGCTCACCCTGAGGGTGAGAGTGGGGAAGTTGTTAGGAGGCAAAATAATGTAAAAAACTAATTAGTTTTGTCAGTTTCAAATTGGAAAGCATAGTCACAATCACATGATTTCCCACTTACTGATTTATGAATAATTAATAAGAATTTGTCTTACAAAAGAATAAGCAGGCACCCAATGGGGAATATGCATCAATACCAATGCACTCTGCAAATAGCCTGGTGTAATACCCATTGTGTACCTGCTTATTCCCTTGTAATCCCTTTCTCTACAATCTCTTTGCTTTATGGAGGGGAGAGTTCTACAAGAAAGATTGCCTATAGAATATTTTTTTCTCATCCTTTCATAGACCACAAGTATTGAGGAGGAAGGGATTACAAGAGAGTAAGCAAGCACGTAATGGGAAATACAACAGGCTGTTTACATAGTGTGTTCAGGACTGCCAGCAGCAGCACATTGCTTTTGATGGTCTTTCCCAATTGTGTACTTCCTTGTTTCCATCTCTTGCTTTCCATTTTTGCCACTCCGAGGGGGGAGGGGGAGAAAAACAATAGTTTTAGCACAGGTCATGTATTAAATGCAATGGCAATCATGTGACTGAGGGACACTATAAAGGTTGTAAATGCAGCCATTGATCATAAAGTTATATTTTTCAGTACCATCATAACTTTGAACAGTTGCTGAATGAGGCAGTCAGTAAGTGAGGACTATCTATACTACCTCCTATCAGTTCTAGGTAACACTATTTTTTCTCTTGAGATCCAATTTTGAACTGTTCAAGGAAGATGCAATTTGAAGTCATTATTTGATCAGAGAATTCTCTAGCTTGGTTTTTAGCTAGTCTTCTTCTCTTCCTCCAGCCTATCTCATAGGAACAGAATGAAGATAAAATGAGAGGTTGACCTTACATTACATCATCTTGTGCTCCTCAAAGGACAGACAGAGATATACAAAACAAACAGTAATAGTTTAAATAGTTTACCTTTGGGCTGAGGTGGTGCATTCTTTATATATAAGTGCACTGCAAGGATGATTTCAGTTTATAACCTCAGATATTCAGTACTTCTCTTCTGCAGTTTTTTACACGTGCACACACCATGCACACGTAAAGAACTCCATGGTCAAGGCTGGTACTGCAACTCTTCTTTTTGGCCAACATTAGGGCCTTAGATGTTTAAATGCATTAAGGGTCTCCTACTTACGCCAAAAGTGGAGAGACAAAACTAAACCTGAGCAATACAACATGCTACCATATGATTGATGCAAAACATCTAGAAGATCCAGGTTGTTACTATTTCTTTCCTCTCCAATTCTAGATTGTACAAGCAGCTTATTAAACAAACACACATACATAAGGCAGCTATTATAATGCCAATTCTTAGACTGAAACTTCTATTGCATGCAGTGAGTCTTTAACTATAAAGTAAACAATAGAATTGTGGAATAACAAATATAAAAGTATCTTTTTATGAACATCATTAAATGCCAAAGATAGACAAATCAAAACAAGGGAAAAGAGAATAGGTTTTAAAAAGCTGTTTAAAAAGTCCAGCTGGAAACTACTCTATCCAAATATTGAACCTATCGTGATAAGCAATTTGATAGGCTAGTTTGTCATGCCTATACTGGTCATTGATAAAGTGCTGAGCAAGCAGCATGAGTGAATAGGCTGCATCCCATTAATAAACTAATAAACTTAATACTAGGTCTGAACATATTGCTGTATTGTGCTTCTCTTTCCTTTGGCTTATTCATTTTATATTATTTCTGAAGCAATAAAGTAACTCCACCTTTACCATCTCTTTTTTATAATTATTACAATTTGCAGAGGCTATCCAAACTCAGATTCCCAAGTGGAAGAAAGGTCAGCTTTACTGAGTCTTAAAGTGTTGCTGGTGAAGATATTACCCAAACTATTTCCTTTATCAGCAATTTTATCTGGGACAAATGCTAGGAATGTCTCCAAGATACACACTAATATTGTGAAATTCTTTACCTTGCAGGGGAAGGAAGAAATGAAGTGTGTGAGTGTTTGTGTGTGTGTGTTTGTTGAGAATCCTGTACCCGTTTTAAGTCAATTGGTGGGTTGGTATTCAAATTAGTGGTACCTCCCTTCGGAATGAGCACAACTGAGCATTACAAATTAGATCCAGTGAGATGTATTTATAAAATCAACAGGTGCGCAAATAATAAGACCCCCCCCTCAACTGAACCCTAAGTACATTCTCTGGCCGCTATTCCCATTAGTCTAGTTCTGAAATGATGGGGAGAGGGACTAGCTTTGGTTGATTGAAGGCGAGGGACGCTCCGTCTACCAGCTGATCCCCTCGCCCAGGGAAACTGAGCCTCTTCTCAATAAAGTGAGCATTTCCGCGTCCCTTCCGCTCTCGGTCCCCCCATTACTTTTTAGGTTATCTCGAGGCTAATCTCGGTTAGCAAACAAACTTGATCCACAGCCTCTCCGGTGCCTTGAAACGGTGCCCTTTGGCCATTTGCGCCACCCCCACTTCCCCTCGCCTGGGCACTGCCAGAAGAACCGCGCATTCCTTCAGCTGGACGGGCTCCCTCGGGTCGTGCCTCGGAGCGAGGACGACGCTAAAAGCCGGCGCAACTAACTGCAGCTCCCTTACTGAAAGGCGGCGGCGAGGGGGGGGGGGAATTCCTCCGAAAGGACGACTCAAAACTCCCCTGCAATGGCAGCGCTCGCCAGGCAGCCAGCCGAGGGAGACGCGGTCGCCCAGACCAAAAAAAAAAAAAAAAAAGCGCAGTTGGCCCGGACCAAGCGTTTTTTTCTTCCGCTTTACCTGAGAGGAGACCGGCTTGGGGGACTCTCTGGAGCGAAGCTCGGCAGTCGGGATGGAGTGTAAGAATGGTAGGCTGTCAGCACCACGCTGCCCGAATCCTTTATCTCCATTATCGGAAGCGCATGTCTTCCTCACAGCTTGGCGACCGACAAGTTGTCTACGGGAAGCCTTTGGCTTCTAAGAATCAAAGGACTCTGTCAAGCCAGCCAGGCATGGCCTTGCCCTTTAAGAGCCCGTTCCCTTGTTACGGATTGCCGGGCAGGCGAGTCGAGGCTCTTCCTCTTGCCAGAACATATGAATTAACGTAAGATCCCAAAACGCCGCCCCCTCGCCCGCCTCCCTCAAAGAAAGCCCCGAGTTTCTAAGTAACTAGAAACCAGAAGGAGCCCTGCGTGGCACTGAGATCCAGAAGCCCATGCTCCTCCGTTTACCTTCCCCTGCATTTTGCTGTGCTTTTCTAAAGTTTTCCAAGAAAATGCAAACTCGGGATTTTTCCTCCTTTCATTTGCATAAGTTATGGCTGGAGTATACAGAAAGGGGAAAAAGAAATAAAGGAAAAAATCCACACACATATTATAATATTTATTTTTCAAAAGGTCGTTTTCTAAATAAAGTGTGGATCACGTGGAACAATATTAATCAGTTCCTTTTATTGCATTGATCAAGAGACGGTTCAGAAGCAGAGACCAAAGATATATCAATCCAAGGCTAAATCCAGAGTGGCACTGCTTTTTTGTGATCTTGTTTGTTACAACACATTCCATAGCTTTTCCTGTATTGAAAATTTCAAACATGGCCTATTTGATTTAAAATCATATTCACTTTTTAAAAACCTACATTACTCTTTCCAAAACCAAATCGTATCATTAGGAAACGGAACAGCAGTCATGCTAATATCATATGTGGAAATGTCTCCTACATCATTTTACATCGCCAATTAAATCTCTGAATATTCAGTGAAAAAGCATTAATTCCATTTAGCAACATTGGAAACACACTTTATCCACTGATTCGTTAATATGGGATATTCTAACTCTACCACAATGTTTGCGAATAACCAATTTCCACTTTAGCAATACTCTAATTTTCTATGGAAAGATAATGTAGATTTGGAATTACTCAAACACATTTCAGTGCCAGTAGTAATTATGAATGTTTAGATATTACTAATACATTTGGTCCAAATTGTAAAATGAACAGGTGTTATAATTAAATGCTGTACTATTTTACCATTTTTGCAGTGTCACATGACAATATCTCAAGTGGTTTAAAAACTTGACTAGGAAGTTGATCTAAACTTTAGATCAGTATCAGTACATCATCTAATCAATCAATTGGAAAGTGAAGAAATCTCTGATAATTTCAAACTAGAAACAATCAAAGTATAAATGTAATAAATGAATACAGGCTGAAATTGTGTTTCCATCCACCAACATTTAAATATGCCCAGAACCTTTTATGCTGGAAATATTTTAAAATTCCAAGCGGTTGACCCAGGTTTGATTCTTACCCAACACAGATATCCTTTGTGAGGCATTGTGTTTTAGTGGTTAAGATGCTGGCCTAGAAACTGGGAGCCTGTGAGTTCTTGGCCAGTCACATTCTCTCAGCCCAACCCAACTCACAATTTGTTGTGGGAAAAATAGGAGGCCAGAATATACATACTACTACTGAGTTATATATAGACAGACAGACAGACAGACAGACAGACAGACAGATAGATAGATAGATAGATAGATAGTAAGGTAGGAATACTAATACTAATAATAATATAGTCATTGATAAAATTTCCATTTGTCAGTTACAAAAGGCCATGTTACTTGGATCACACATATATTACACCAATACATTATGGTATCTTAGATTCAGTGAAGAATTTGATGTGTATAAGCAATACCAGCTAAAGAACTAGGAGCTATAATTTCCCCTTTTTTGTGAATATCATAATAACAATGAACATTGTTCCTTGGAATATCTGCAAAAAATATCATTTTGTTGCAAGTAATAGAAAATGAAGAAACTTAAATGCTTGGAGGCTTTAGAATTCAAACAGACAGGCACTTGCCACATAGCATCTCAGACTTAACAATGTTGATACAAAATACAAAAAAAGTCTGGATAGTGGATGCGGCAGTACCTGGAGACAGCAGAACGGGAAAGAAAGAAGTGGAGAAAATCACAAAATACATAGACTTGAAAATAGAAATAGAACAACTTTGATAAAAGAAAGCAAAAATAATACCAACAGTAATAGGCATCTTGGGTGCAATCCCAAAACATCTGAAGCACCACTTGAACATAATGGACCTCAACAAAATCACCAGCTTTCAGTTGCCCAACTTTACTTGGAACAGCTAACATCTTGTAATGAGACCTTTTAACACCATTCAACAACAATATATTCCCTTCTCAAGTCCTTGAAAAGACCTAAGTAAGTGGATAAAAATGCCAAAACCAACCTAAACATCTGGCTGATTGTGTGATCAACCATAATAAAGACTTTGCCATGATATTGGGAGGGGGGGAGAAATATCACATTAGAACTTTTTAAATGGACCTGCAGTGGTTTTTTTGACTTGATAATTTACAGTCCTTAAAGAAATAAAAATTTAAAAATAGGCTGGTTATAAAGCTGAAAATTAGGTAAATTAAAACTTCAATCATTGTATAGTAACTGTAATTTGGATTTTTAAAAATCAAGGTTTCTTTCTAATATTTTAATAATTTGACAGCTTAGTTGCTTCATGATATTAACACTGGAATACCTGCAACTACAGATATTATTCATTTTTATAATATGTGTCTTTTCCCATATTCTCAGTGGGATTTTAACCATTTATAATAACATAAATCAAATGAACTGATATATGTACAAAATGAAAAAGTATCCTTGGTTAATTATTCTGAGTTATATAAGATTTCAAACTCCAAATAAAATCTCATTTGTTACACATTTTTGTAGATACATTAGAATGTATAGAAAGGAGATGAAACATCAATGAACTGAATACTCTGATAATTTGACAAATGATTATGCTATATCAATCTATTTATAATGATATTTTAAAGTAAATGATCAGCATGTAATAATTCCATCTGCTGTTATGATAAAAAGGTCTTCCAGTTACCTGATAAGAGTCAATGGTTCTACTATCCATCTTAATTTAAGAATAACTAAAAGATATCCTTGATGCATTCAATAGAACATCTTGATAGATCAAGAGATAATTTCATTTGTTATAATCTTTCATGAAAGATACAAAACCACCTTTAATTCAATTAATAAAAAGAAAAGGAAATCCATATTTGCGCAAAATGGGCTCCAAAACTTCCCACTGTGCCATATCAATAGCTTTATGATGCAGAAATCTGATGGTAATTTATATGTAGTAATCAATTAATAAGCTGATATTATCCAAGGCTTTTTGCCTTTTGATAAAACTATAAAACACAAAATATTGAATTAGAAATATGTACTCTACATGTCAAAAATTTGACATCAACATTAAACAACTTGGTCAATTGGGAGACAATTACCATTCTTCACTGTTACATAAAGCTTGAAAAAAAAATAAACATGCAATGTTATAGAGACAAAAAAATTGTATGTCATGTATTATTCTACTCCTCATCAGGACTAGAAAGTTTTCTTGTGTTCACAGATTTAATAGTATCTTTACTTCTGGAAAGTATAACTTCATAAACAACTTTATTAGAAAAAAATACAGCCAAAAAGAATTAATGTTTTATTCAGCTGTTGTTGTCAGCATAAAGATAAAACTGATCGTCCTTTTTTTTAAAAAAAAAATATTGATTTATTAAATCAGAACTTCCTTGATTATTATATTTTGTTTTTACTGTTTTAGTTGAAAGGCTAATAATAGAAGTCTTTATTGATTAGCCCTTGGGCCATATCAAAGTGCAAAGTTCCAGCAACAAATCATTACTAAAATTTGATAAAAGCAATTTAGAATTTGATAAAATACAATTTAAAATGGAATTAGAATAAAATACGACTTAAAATGAAATTTGAATAAAATACAGTCTAAAATGAAATTAAAATAGAGTACAATAATTTAAGATAGGCTAATAATTTGTCAGGTCTTTCTCTTCATTTTCAATATTTTCATTTTTTATGATTCCATTAACATTCTGTACCAAGTACACAGAGGAAATTAAATTTGAAATCTTCAAGGAATTAGTTACAGTGTTATGGAAACAATTAATGTTAATTTTCTAAGGCTTTTAAGGCTTCTTCTTTCTGTTGCTTACATTCATGTAGTTCTTAGTCACAGTTTGTGTATTTACAAATCTCTATAGGCTTAATCTGAAAGGGATGTTATATTAATTTATTTATCTAATAAAGTTCTGTTTCTTATATGCAGTGTTTGATCTGTTCATTCTGGAGAGCTGACATCATCACCATGATCTGGTTTGCTAAAGCAGGAAATAAACATTAACCAATGAATGCTGGACGCTCAGGGAAAACTCTAAACAGAAACAGTAATTTATATACAGCACTGTGGTGCTAGAAAAAACAGATGAAGAAGGTGGTGCATATTCACCAAATGCTGCAAGAAAAAAAATAACAGCGGAATGGGAATTTGCAGACAGCAGCAAAAGTGAAATGGCACATTGTTAAAGTGGGTTTCACTCTTCTTTTCATTCTTTAGTAATGTACTTCATTGCAATTACTTACACTGCTGCACACTTGTAACCATTAACATTCCAGGGCAACTATTTCTGTGTTTTTCCATACCGCAAAATATTTGGCTTCTACAGGATCGAAACCATAGGGGAAAAAACCACCCCATCATATTATAAATCAGATTTCTAAACAAAAAGAAATTATGGGAATGCATGATAAAGCACAAAGTTCAACTCAAAACACAAAGCTAGAAAAATGTAGAATGCAGAAAACAATTTAAAAAATCAGGATGAATGGATATACCACCCTCACAGGCACTTCAGTTAAATATTTAATGAATTTAGAGCCAAGCTATAATCTGTTAGTTGATATAGGAAAATTGTTGATTTCTGTCTTTGAATTGACTTTTCAAGAATAGTCAACCAAGTGGAAGCTGTATTGGTTGAAATGTTCAGTGTTAGCATTATAAAAATCATCAGTATTAAACTAGGCCTAGAATGTAAAACTTCCATTGACTTAAGAGCCACATCAAGTTGGAGTAGCATGTCAAGGTCAACATTTCAAAAATGGAGCTGGCAAAGCTTGAGGCTTTTTTGAAAAGATAGGTTCAGGAATTTAAAAAGCATCTGCAATGTCAACAGCATCAATTTTGTCCTTCAACAGCACCCACCGACCCCCCCTCCAGATTTTTGACCAGTGCATATTTTTATGATATATCGAGCTCTTTTGTAATGTAACCTTCAAAG